TCCAGCCCAGTGACACCAGAGTATCCAGCACAGTGTGGAGGCTCTGCTTAACTGAGGCCCTAAGGCCCGTAGAAGCCAATGCGTCCAGATGCGGGTGACAACACCTGCCCTGAGACCTGGCTAACTGAGCTGGGATTAGCATAAGTTTGGTGAACACCCTTGGCGCCGTGGAGATGCGAAGGGCCGCAGCGAAAACTGGTATACGTCCGTCGAAGGAGAACCCGGAGGTACTTCTTGAATTGAGGGTGCATTGGAACATGGAGGTATCGTCTTTGAGATCGATTGGCGTAAGCCAATCCCTGTCTCCGGCGGAGGAGATCACTGACCTGAGTGTCTCCATCCTGAAAGGCGGCACCTCCAGTAATTTGTTCAGCCCTCTGAGATTCAGAATGGGTCTGAACCCTCCGTCCTTCTTGGTCACGAGGAAGTAGGTGGAATAAAACCCCTCTTCTCGCTGACTCACAGGAACCACCTCGATGGCTGCCTTGGTCAGTAAAGACTGAACCTCGGCACGGAGGACTTCCGCCTTGTCGCGGGAGGTCGGCACAGGCGTGTGCCGAACCCCGGAGAAGGACGGAGGATCGCGCCTCCACTGTGGCAAATGGCCATCCCTGAGCGTGGACAGGACCCAGGGATTTGAGGTGGCTGCCTCCCACTCCCGGAGGAATAGGGACAGCCGGCCGCCGACAGGGACGTGTGGCAAGAGGCAGTGCACCCCCACCGTCGGCAAGTCTCCGCTTGCGTGAGTGGGGGGCAACAAGGGCTCTGGGGCATGAATCAGTGGGAAGCCGGGGCTGGCTTCCCCTTGCCCCGAAAAGACTGCTGCGCTGGCGCAGGCCTGCCCTTGCCTCTCGATCGCCTGCTCCGCTTGGACTGCAAAGGGGCAGCCCACTTAACAACATCCTTCGCCGGAGCCGAAGGGTAAGCGGATGCAAGCGGGGAGGGCCGATGGCGAGGAGCGGAGGGCTGCTCCAACAAAGGCTTTGAGTCCTTAAAAGTAGAGACAGCCTCCGCGGCCTCCCTAACCACCTGCAATGCCCCAGGGAACAGGGAAGATCCCATGGTATAGGGCAATGAAAGTAGAGCTTGCTGTGTGGCCGGCGAATACCGTGCCACAGACAGCCACAGGCGGCGCAAGCCCATGACTGCACCCATCATCTGGCTGGCACAGCACCTAATGCTGTCCCGAGCCAGATGTGAGTGTACATCCGTTAGTTGCCGCGCGAGCACCGACTCCGATGAATCGGCACCGCCAGCGCTGTGGGCCACCAGCTGTCCCTGCAATGCAGACAGGTAGGCTGAATGGACGGCCACTTTAAGCTGCTGAGCCGCGCACCGGTAACATTCTTCAAATGACCGGTAGGCAGACTTCAGCGGTAGTGATGTACTAGCCGGAAAAGGGGGGAGGCGCCTGCCCTGCCTGGCCGAGGCCAGGGAAGACGAAGACGACCCTCCTAATGTAACCGAGGCAAATCGCTTTCGTCCACCACTGGTGGTTCGAAGCGTCTCCTCACTAACTGGTACCGCCTGCCCGTCAGGCAAATCAAAGCGGCGGCGAGTACCAGCAAGGGCCCGGATTCACCACTTCACTGACCAGTGATGGGAGAATCGCGAGGCGAGCCTCTGCGACCGGTTAGAGTGCGAGCGCCTCCCGGGGAGCGAAACTCCAGCGAGGTCGGTTGCGGGGCGGGAACAGCCACCTGCGGCAGGACTTGGCGATCTTATCCCGAACCTGCGCGGGGCGAGGCAAAAGAATGCGGTACTCCCGCCTCCGGTTCCTCCGTCCCTTCCTCCTCCTCCATATCGACCTCGGCAGAATCCTCGGCCGTCATCATCTCAGACTCCTGAGAGAGAACGCCGAGGAGACGCATGAGGCAGGACCAGACAAAGTAATAAGGTCCAGAGGAGCCAGGGGAAAAACATCACCCTGCCGGGAGGAACCAGCGCCAGGTGGCCGAGTAGCCTGAGAGAGGAACCTGCCGCAACAGGCTTCCGGGCAGCCCAGACTGGCTGCCAGGCGAAGGTATCCCGAACTGGTCGGGTGCCTGGCGACCACCAGTCGGGACACCAGGCGATGACAGGGGCAACCCTGTCTCGCCCGGCACCAGGCACCTGTGACAGCCCGGGCGTAAAGCCAGGTCGTCAGCAGGCGCCGAGGGCATGCTATCGCCCGCGGCGAAAGCCAGGATCAAGCAGCCGGGGAGGCGTTCTCCCGAGCGGCTTCGGGCAGCCAACCCCCAGATGTGTCAGCTCCGCCCCGGCGACCGGCGGCTGAGCTCCTTCACGGAACCCTGCTAACGCCGTATCAATCAGGGACTTGACTGGCGACATCTGCTCCTGGAAAAAATGGTTAAGGAATCAACAGGAACATTTTGCACAGGTGCTGAATCAGGAGGGTGGCGGGTACAGAGATGGAAGCAGGAGGCGCCCGAAGGGGCATGAGTGCGTGACGGCCGCCTTGGTAGCCTTAGCTTTCTTGGGGAGCCCGGCTCCAGCGTGGGAAGCGGCTCCCAGCGGACCCCTTTCCCTACTATGGGAGCTTGGGCCCGGGGATCCTGCGCCCAGAGATCACCCGCCGAAGCAGGTTGCTGTAAAACAGCGCGTGTCTATCGCCTCGACCGAATGGTTTGGGCGAGAACATGGCACATGCCGCACACCCTCTTCCTCATGTTCCTTCTGCACTAAACAGCGTAGGCAGACCTCGTGGAATCCCGATGCGGGGATTGCAGCAAGGCAGGAAGTACAGGGTTTAAACTGCAACAAGTAAAAACCTGTGCAGCAATCTACCCTATACCCACATACAAATACATGTAAACAGACGCGTGGGCGATACAACTAATCGACAACGTAGCATGCAGTTGACCTAGTACACTGCAGCATAACTAACAATTCACGGCTTTTTTAGCGTAATATAGAAAATCTGAGCAGTTGACATACGCCCTACACGCGATACAAAGATACAAATAAAAATCACTAAAACCACCTGTAACATTGAAAAACCACATGGGAAACCAATGAACAGGAAGGCTAGCGAAGGGACCTGTCCGCCATCTTGACCGCACTAACCGCAGCCGACCGCGACAGGTACCAAGTTACAGCGAGGAATTTATGAATGAAAAATTCAGAAAAAACCTCCAATTAAGCCCATGCAGGAAAAGAGAACCATACATACAGTTGCGGTTTCTGAAACACTCATTTCTCTATAGTCGCAAGGAAAAACCTTCTGGTATGGACCCACGTCTTGTCGGTACAACGACAGCATGGAAAGTGAGGTACGAGGTTACGGTCTGGAGTTACCTGCTCTTGGCTGTAGGGGGCCAGAGGGCCCTGTAAGGGTGGTCTCACAAGACAAAACGTAGTTTTTGTTTTGTAAATATTTTATTCAAAATATTGTTACAACTGTCGTAGGGATTTTAAATGGACATTTAAATGCTTATAAGTACCCCAAGGAGGAATATATAAAAAAGAATACATCTGTGATAGAATCTTCAATAACTTTACTAATAACTATTTATTTAAGTTCGTATGAAGTCTAATGTCAAGCCAGCAATATGATGCAGGCATCTAAAAAATAGTCTGGACCAAACAACCATGGTATAGTGATTTGCAATGATCCAAGACAGTAAGCCTGTGTCTTGATCCATTAAGCATTCATAGTGTTAGATATATTTTATTGATATAAAGTATTTCATAGAGCTTCTGAGAATGGCGGTAATGCTACAAACACAATATGGAGCGGGCCCATAACACTAGAACCATCTTATCTCAGATCTTTTTGAACGGAATCCATAAAACAATTAAATATTTCTAGACTTCGCCCACCAAATATACTGATTATGGAATACACATAATATCTGCCTCTAACAAAGTTCTCTCAATCTGTGGCACAGACATCTAAGATCTATCATCAGTAATTGTAAATACAGTGGAGGCTGTCAAAACCGGCAGTTGTCCAATCCGACAAGTTGTCAACACCAGCATAAAATCTCAGTCTCTTGGCATGAAATGAGCCGCCCGAATGTGGGTTTATGCTGTAATCAGCGCCGTCTAATCCGGTGCGTGGCGAGGATTCGGCTGGATGTGTATTGTGATAGAACAATGTATATGAGATGACAAAACTTGTTCACTTCTAATCGGAGGTAACCGTGTCATCTGTACAATACGGCATGCTGTCTAAACCGGATTATTTCTTTAGTCCTGACGAGTGCCGGTTTAGACAGCTTCCACTGTATCCTTGATAAGGGCTACTCAGTGTCTATCAACAGCCACAATAATGTATCAGTGGAAGGCCACATCCAAAGCTATTATCCCAACAACTGCTGTTTGTGAGGCATGTTTCAATTTTCTTAAGTTCTATCAAACCAAAAATGATAACAATGCGAGCCAAAAAACAAAACAAAAAAACACTTCACCATTTATAAAAGATTTCCCACACAAGTTCTTTTAATTAATTGGAATTAGTTGTCAAAATCTTTTAACCAGATGAAATAATGTTAACCAATAAATACTTTTAAGCTAGGAATTAATCTAAGGAGAAAGTATATAATGAACCTTGTTCTATGTTATTCATGTAAACAAATCATGAAAATCCAGTGACCAAATGAAAAGGTGTGGGCACATAACATTTCACCATAAAGGTAAAACAGTTGATGCATTCATCCTCAACAGCTTGGAAAACAACAGAACAACCAAATAATGTCATCATTTTGAATCATTTACAACATAGACAAGCACTAAATGTCATAAATTTATAAGTAGAAAAACTGTCAAAAAGCAGTGTTAGTCTTGAAATATATAGAAAGAGTAAGCAGTTAGTATTCGATTATTTGTACATTTACAAATCCAATAGTCACTCAATAAATTGTACATTCATTATTTCTAGGTTACGTTTCTATCACTGGCTCTTTGCAACATACAATGCAACACCAGGTTTCTAATTATGCTACTCCTAGACGACAAGACGAACATGCCACAAGAACAAGACAAGGGAGATCACTCACTCTATGTTGTTCAGATGTTCAAAGTCAAACCAGAACACTACAGCAAACGCCATAAGGTTAGAGCACTGAGCCATCAAGCTGAAAATAGACACACATTTTCAGATTAGGAAAGCAATACTTCTTATAATCTACTCATTTGCAGGATTCCAGTCACATCATGGTGGGAGAATGAAAAAGGTCTTACGCATATGGGTAATCAAATCTGGATGATGATTCATGCATAATTCAGAGTTAGATCAGATATTTACGCATATAAATGAAAAAAAAACCCTACCTTTTTGTAAGCAAACAGACTCCACATACATAATGGATGTAATCCCACTTAGATACAAAGAGGTATCAAAAAAGCGTTTGATTCTAGCATATACAGTCAAATCCCGATGAGTCGAATCGCTGGGGACCAAGTAATAAATTCGACTTATCGATGTATTCGAGACATAAGTATGCCTATGAGGGTAGAAAAAAGATGATCCAGTCCTAATTTCTCCGCCTAAGCATTTGTTAACTAATGATTTCCATATAACTAATAGGGGCACCTTATCAGTTCCAGTCTGATTAGCACTAATCTGCCTTTTGAACTCACCCGTCAATGACGGAAAGGTGTGAGCCGCGCTGGTTTGTTAATTGGATCAGTTTGCTACACCAATCAACTTCTCATTGACTGACCTCGGCTTATGTATACAAGATTGCTGTTGTTTGAATCTCATGGGACCAAATTCCTTTTCGAGTCATCGTGTGTATTTATGAGACGAATTCGTGTAACCGGTATTCAAATGATGATAACTATAACAGGAATTGGTCGGGACCGACAGGTACTTCGAGTTATGCATAATATTCGAGACACCGGCATTCGACTCATCGGGATTTGACTGTATAAGCAAATATATTGTAATCATTTTGTAAAACTTCGTCTTACTGCAGTTCGATACACATTCCACCCTTTCTCCAGCGCACGTATCCTGGTTTTATAGAAAGTCAGATCCTGGGGTACAGAATGGTGTCATGCTATGGTGAAGGGTACAGGATGGTGTCATGCTGCGGTGAAGGGTACAGGATGGTGTCATGCTGTGGTGAAGACTTCACTACCACACCTCATCCTCATCATATGATTGTGATACCAGTGCAATACTTTCATTTCAAAAGTTCACATTCTCACCCTTTTCTAGGTGCATCACAACCCTCAATCTTTTGTTTTTGAATTTCAGACAGCAAAAATGGCACATAGTAGGGAAGAAACATGCAAGCTTGGAAGCAATGTACAGATTCTGCTATTAATGACAGCTAATACTAGGGGATCTACAAATACTGGTTCTCGAACAGTTTCTGTTTTGACATGTCATACGAGGTGGGCTTACACCCAGACATGGGCCTACAACAAAAATCCCACCTGGATATAGAGAGGCTGGAAAGATGGCGCAGCAGGGTGAGCAGGCACAGGGGCGGCAACAGTATCAGCAGCCAGTGGCCTCTGCAACACAAACATCAAACATCCACAAAATTACAAGGACTGATACCCCCCCCAACTTTTTATACTTCTCATCATAATGTACAAGATAGCATTCCTTTTAAGTATAATACCCATGATGTGTGTGTGTGTGTGTGTGTGTGTGTGTGTGTTCATGCATGCATACGCGTGATAATACAGACAAAACAAGTGTTTGCCACTGATATGGCAATGTCCCCCTCTGCTAAAGAATGGACTGACTGAACAAGTGAGTGAGTTTAGTTTTACGACGCTTTTAGCAATATTCCAGCAACATCACGGCGGGGGACACCAGAAATGGGCTTCACACATAGTACCCCAGTGAGGATTCGAACCTGGGTCTTCGGCGTGACGAGTCAACGCTTTAACCACTGGGCAACCCCACTGCCCACTAAAGAATGGAATATCAATAACATATTTTCTACTTTTTATTTTTTGGTCACATACAAGATGCCTGAAATGACTGGTGTCTGTATAATCACCCAATGTAGGCTGTCGACATGATTGAAAACATTGGGTGCAATATTGGATACAACAGTTCATGAGATATCGCATTAACAAGAGTTTGAAAAGTGTTCAAAGTGTCGTGGTGATCTTGAAGATAAGGTCAAGGTCACCCAAATCAACTGGTGTCTCCGTAATCCCCCAATGTAGGCTGTTCGGTACAGCAGTTCATGAGATATCTCGTTAACAAGAGTTTGAAAAGTGGTCAAAGTGTCATGATGACCTTGAGGATAAGGTTAAGGCCACCCAAATCGACTGGTGTCTGGGTAATCCCCCAATGTAGGCTGTCACCAAATTTGAAGACATTGGGTACAATAGTTCATGAGATATCACGTTAACAAGAATCGGGACGTGACGTACGTGCATCGCCGCTGAATAGTCCCCGTAGTCCCCGTTCCGCATTGCATATTTTTTTGATGAAAAATATATATTAAACTACTGAACAAAAGTAAAAATAGATCATGAATATTTTGGGATGTTACTTTTTTTTAAACATGGTCAAATATATTTATGATTATTAATATATATAACTTTTTTGGCTCGATATACAAAGGAAAAAAAAGGTATATCAGATATATGAATTCTACATTTTGAATATTTAGATACTGATCTGGCTCCGTAAGTATTTATGTTAGTGGGGTTAAGCATACTGCACTATACACACAACACACAGAGACAATAAAACTCTCTGACAAACACAGTGAGTCTATGCTGTGGCTGGCATTAACAGCAATTTTCTCATATATTAACTCTGTTTACAGCAAGTCAATGATGCATGACCCAGTCATATTTAATTACGTGCTGTAATTCGCTATGCACACTAATGGATAAAATTATGGTCAAATTATGTATGTGAATGAGATGGTTTAACATCTTTTTTTAAACAGCATTTCAGGTATATTGCTGCATGCAAGCTCCATGTAAGAGGATACACCAGACTGATGCACGTCTCGTTAGATATACACACCGCTTTGGTGAAACCATGGAGCATGGGTAGCGGCATAAAACCAAACTCAGTCAGTCAGCCTAAATGAGTTGTGCATGACCAATGGTGTCCCCACTAATGGAAGAGGTGAGGTGAGGTGAAATTGGGTTTAACGTCGTGCTTGAGAATATTTCGCTCATATGACGACGTGCATGCATGTGTATGTGTATGTGTGGCTGCTTGTACTAGCCCAGACTTAAGCTGGTTTTATAGTGCTAGCCCACTGAGATACCATGCCGCAGTGAAGCATGTATACCCCACTCGGACACATTATACTGACTCGGAGCCGACCAGTCCTTGTTGTACCCATTAATGCCGAGTGCCAGGCAGGGACCAACAAGTACCATATTTTAACGTCTTTTGGTATGACGCGGTCGGGGATCGAACCCGCGACCTTCCGCTCTCCGGGCAGACTCTCTAACCACTACACCACGGAGGCGGTCACTAATGGAAGAGACACATGTTGGCTGTTATGTTCAAGTAAGTAAGGCTGATCACCCAGTCCATCTGGTAAAACCAGCATAAATTGCTATGGACCTACTGTAACAGTGAATCCTCACAGAGATGTGGCCATATGGAATCTGATACCCATACAGTACGTGATAGATACTTACATCCTCATTCCCTGGAAGTAGTCAGACAGGTTTTCTGATATGAAGATGAGGTAGGCACAACAGAATCCTAAAAAACACAGAAAAAATAAACACCTGAAGTACAGAGTCAACTGGAGTTGAGGAGATAACGGGAACTGGGAACTAGATTATCTCGGCCTCATCATGTTGAGAAAAACTAACAATACTTCACCTGTCGGAGACACACTGACAATGTCTCACCTGTCTGAAACACACTGACAATGTCTCACCTTTCAGAGACACAATGATCAGTCTCACCTGTCAGAGACACACTGACAATGTCTCAACTGTCGGAGACACAATGATCATGTCTCACCTGTCGAAGACACACAGACAATGTCTCACCCGTGATGGAGACACACTGACCATGTCTCACCTGTCAGAGACAAACTGACCATGTCTCACCTGTCAGAGACAAACTGACCATGTCTCACTTGTCAGAGACAAACTGACCATGTCTCACTTGTCAGAGACAAACTGACCATGTTTCACCTGTTGGAGACAAACTGACCATGTCTCACCTGTCAGAGACAAACAAACCATGTCTCACTTGTCAGAGACAAACTGACCATGTTTCACCTGTTGGAGACAAGCTGCCAATATCTTACCTGTCTGAGACTCAATACAATAGACACAATAATTCCCCTGTCTGAGACAATCTGTCTTTCACTTGTTTGGAACACAGATATCTCACCTGTCTGACACAGACAATATGTTACCTGTTTACTGCAAATATAATATGTTACCTGTTTACTACACAGACAATATCTTACCTGTCAGAGATACACTTATCTCACCTGTCTGAGCCACAGACAATATGTTACCTGTTTAACACACAGATAATATTTTACCTGTCTGTGACACGCTTATCTCACCTGTCTGGGACAGACAATATTTCATGTCTCTGACAAACAGGCAATATCTTACCTGTCTGAGAAACCACAATGGCCAGGTCCACCAGGAATCTTCCTGTGTGACCCAAAGCTTCGAACCCTGAAACAGATAATGTAAGTAACTTAGAGGAATACTTGCTACAAAGACATTGATGTGATACAAAAAACCCCGAGAATAGACATACAACCAACATTAAGCACATGTCTACCACATCACCACATCCATGAATCTGTTAATGTTCTTGTTATTGTACTAAACATTAATGCTTTAGCCACAAAGGTATTAAGGTTCACAAAACATGTTCCTGTATTTGACAAAAGCTTAGGCCATGGACATAATGAAAAGATCTAATCAAGGCCTACGTTGAAGAGTGAGTGAGTGAGTGAGTATGGTTTTACGTCGCTTTTAGTAATATTCAAGTAATATTCAAGTAATATTCAAGTAATATCAAGGTGGGGGACATCAGAAATGCACTTCACACACTGTACCCATGTGGGGAATCGAACCCTGGTCTACTGTGTGACAAGTCAACACTTTAACAGGGATTTACAGGACGCGAATTCCTGTGTCCTATACACATAATAATTCACATTGGACGCAACAAAATTTATTAGCGCATCCAGAGGGACTCAGAAAAAGTCCCAAATACTCTTTGTAAAATTCCAATCAAGTGACAATAAGTTATCACTGAGTTTGCTACTAGCTGGGTTATGGTATTACTAGTATTTGCAATTTAATTACTGTAACAATGTGATGATCATGATACACAATACAATAACAGAAATAATAATAATATTTAAGTGTCTGGGACCCCCATTTTGTTGTCCAGGACCCCTGAAAATTAAGAGTACGAGTCCCAAGGACCCTCAAATACAAGACTCAAGGTAAATCCCTGCTTTAACCATTAGGCTACTCCACCGCCCAGGTAAGCTACAAATGTAACAGGACTCTCAACATAATATCAAATATAAGACTGGACTTGTAATGTTATCCATCATTTAATCTGTTAAATATTACGACATTACATGACATTGAAGATTGATGAAGTGAGTTATAAACAATATTTGTTGACATGTTATTGTAAATACACATTCACCAGCAGCTTGATAGCCGATAAACAGTTGATAGGGAAGCAGTACTCATGTTACCTACTATAGTACACAGCTGTGAATTCAATATTAATTATGCAAACATGATAAAATAACACCAAACCAAGAATCTCATATTTCGTAAAAATATCAATAACATAATTTCATATTTTCCAAATGAAAGCACATTTAATCATGAGTTTGTAGTTCTCTGATCACGCAGATAATTATCACCAAAATGATCACATTAAAAACTTATGGACGACAAATACTACATTTTCCACGTGCTGCGTAGACAGTTGACTGTTGTCAGGATGTACAATTGTCAGTGAGAATATTGAAGTTTGAAATGGTATCTATACATCTGCTCCTTGACAAAACAATATGACAATGAAGGTCAAAAATAGAACCCGAAACATCTGCAAGTGTCAAGCCAGTAATTGAGTCTGTGCATGAAATCGGAGATCAATGTACTGTGTCCTCAATTTAGGATTAAGTTCTGTATAGATTTAACCATGGTTGAACTTTTGGCTTAGTCTACATAATCCTATCAAAGGGCAACAATTGTCAAAAGCTACATTTACAGTGATTAAATGTGTGGGGAAAAAGTGAGTGAGTGAATGAGTGAGTTTAGTTTTAATGCAGCACTCAGCAATATTCCAGCTATATGGCGGCAGTCGAGTCTGGACCAGACAATCCAGTGATCAACAGAATGAGCATCGATCTGCACAATTGGGAACCGATGACACATGTGAACCATGTGGGGAACTAGAGGAGCACAAGACACACTAATTAATGTGTGCCTCAGTATAACACCTTGTAATAAAGGAAGGTATTAAACTGAAGCAAGACTGTTTGTTGTTTCACATATTTAATGGTGTATTGAGCAATATTCCAGATCCAGGACAGGAACATATCTGGACCAGAGAACAATGTCTATACACATCAAATGTTACAGATATTCCGTTTCAGTGACATGTTTCATGCATGCATATTCACTGTATTAGGTATCAACTGCTTGACAACAGCTGTGAGGAATACGTAACCAGACCAATGAAGCTACCACGAAAGATGTTCCACTAGTCTCACAGGCTCTTCTAGACTTAGGTGGACTAGAGGTGAGGTGTGGTGAAATTGGGTTTAATGTCGTACTTGAGAATATTTTGCTCATATGACGACGTGCATGCGTGTGTATGTGTAGGTGCGGCTGCTTGTACTAGCCCAGACTGAAGCTGGTGTTATAGTGCTAGCCCACTGAGATACCATGCCGTGGTGAAGCATGAATACCCCACTCAGACACATTATACTGACTCCGAGCCGACCAGTCCTTGATGTACCCATTTATGCCGAGTGCCAGGCAGGGACCAACAAGTACCATATTTTAACGTCTTTTGGTATGATGTGGTCGGGAATCAAACCCATGACCTTCCGCTCTCCGGGCGGACGCCCTACACCACGGAGGCGGTCAGCTGGACTAGAGGTTAATGTTACAGTCTGTGAAGATACGGTACAAAAGAGCTGTGGGATACAGCAGTGTTCTTAAAACAGGGGACATTCAACAGATCGACTCATCATCCCACCATAAACTTATATCTGTATGGTAATCAGCATGATAAGTGATACGGGACAAAATCAACACTAGGTCAGACACACGTGGCATATTCCAAAGTATGCAGGCAATGTAGCAAACGTTGGCACACATCACAAATATTAAGGCAATGAATACATGATGAGGTTTGCTTTCATTCGTAATATATTTATGAATTTATCTATAACGCAGCACAGATAGAGAGGTAGAGAGAACTGTTATGTCTGATTCATAATGTTGATTATACAACAGTCTGTTTCAAATACTGTTTGGAGAGAGAGATAGATGGGGGGAGATGTAGAGAGAAAGTTTGAGAGAAAGAGGGAGAGGGACACAGAGAGAGGGAGGAAGAGAGACAGAGGGTGGGGAAAGGAGGGAGAAAGGGAGAAAAAGAGGCAGAGAGACAGGGAGGAAGAGAGACAGAGGGTGGGGAAAGGAGGGAGAAAGAGGGAGAAAAAGAGGCAGAGAGAGAGGGAGGAAGAGAGACAGAGAGAAAGAGAAGGTGGGGAAAGGAGGGAGAAAAAGGGAGAGAAAGAGGCAGGGAGAGAAAGGTCGATTAGTTTCAGTGGACTTTACTAAAAGTCCTTAGTCACAACTTTATTTCTACACAAACAAGACTGTAGATAATTCATATGAAAATACTTTAAATGTGGGGAATTCAAAATGGGGGAGAAAGTTTGTTGATAAATGATCACCTGAAGTAACGAAAACAATTCATCATTCCCTTGCAGTTCATAATGGCCATGTTTCACTGTATTTCATAGTTTAACATCAAGCATTACAGTCAACGTTTTAGTAGAACTGCAGTATTCAGCCTTTGGTTTGGTATACTAAAATGCAGTCCAACAATTCGATATTTTTGTTTTTTGTACCATCACTTTATTTACTTTTAACACCTTTTCTAAAATGTCTGGAAATTGAATAATCTATGCATTTCTTTGCTAGAAGGCTGCTACTTCCCCGGAAGTAAGTTCTCATATATTAAACCGAAATGGACCAAACCGAAGGCCTTGTACCACAATATGTACCATACCGTGGTAAAAGCGTACCATTTCACCCCTACAGACAAGGTGTGATAATTTAAAACTGAAAGCTTGCAAATATGTGCTTACTGAAGTCTTTAAAGAAATAAATAGTCTTTCAAATCATGATGCCTGGATGATATAAACATAAAGAACAAATTGTCCCAATCCAGGACCAGAGTCCTTTTAGAAGCAATAGTGTATCTAGACCTGCCTGTCGTGAGGACAGAATAATGATACATCCATAGAAATATGCAGTACAGCCTTCGAGCATGGTTAAAACAGCATGAAAACATGAAACTTACATCTGACCCATACCCTCTTGGTTTTTAACACAGTATTACGCAGACCGCATGGAAACTATTTAGAATGGAATGTTCTGTCCTGCAAATATCCTCCATGGCAACATGAAGGTTGAAGTCTGGCCACCACATGGCTATGCCAGGAAACACCCCCACTTTCTCCACCACCCTACTCACCTACATCGCCATACGTCATGTCAGATGTCTGAAACAGAAAACAAGTCACATTGTTAACTAGCAACAAAAAAACAACATCTACGCTGCTATCTCATGAAAAGTAATCATCTCTGACCACAATTCTTGTTTCTGTTATATCAAGGAGTGAGCGAGTATGTTTTACGCCGATTTTAACAATATTCCAGCAATATCAAGGCAGGGGGCAAGGAAATGGGCTTCACACATTGTACCCATGTGGGAACTCGAACCCCGGTATTCGGCGTGACAAGCAGACGCTGTAACCACTAGGCTACCCCACCGCCCGTTACATCAAGGATAACTGTGACCATGATTGTCGGAAATACATGACAATACTGATCATCAATACAGCCTTGTCATTAGTTCATCAAGACAGTTTAGTTCATCAAGACAGTGTGCTTGTGTGTCTCCTGGTTAACACAACTCAACAATATTGCAGACTCACGACGGCAGCGAATCTACAAAAATCACATCTGGTTTGGACAATCCAGTGGGCAATATTTCGAGCAATGATCCATGCCTCTAAGGTACAAAGACACCAACCAAATCATCTCTAGTATATTTGGTTGCGTCTTATGACCAACAAGGTGTGGGCACCTATTCTACACCAGAGTGTTTTATTTATTACCTGGCCTGAATCCTACTTCCATGATGTTAAATATGATACTGATGATGGTGGCAAATCCATGTTATACTATGTCAGATTACTCCATGCCAAATATCTCCAGATTAAAGATATCAAATCACATCCGCCAAACCCTTTTGCCCAACATCCGAAACAATAAACACCCATTTTCCTCTGTGGTGGCATTAAATTCGCACAAATTTCCACCATATGTGTGTACAGGAATCCTATGTAACCATGGCAACCATACCAGCATGATTCTAAATATTTCAAGCTGTATATTTTAGTTCTTGCGTAATTCTAATAAAAACCTTTTATTGAAAATCAAACTCCACATTTCGCAGAAAAAACATATTGAGTACTTGTATGATGGATATTTGAAGGAGTTACACTTCTCATTAAATCGTGGTATAATTCTAGATATAACACACGATTCTGATCATGTCAGTAATGTATGTTTAACTACTTGTCTACCTTCTCAGATTTGGTTATTTACAGACCGCCATCATGCAGCTGGAATATTACTGAGTGTAAAGCTAAACAAACATACAAACAAAGACAGTCTACATGGACAGAATTCATGAACCATCATTATCATGTTTACCACTAACACTAACAGATATTTGTCTTAGATGTCTAAACTAGCAACGGTCCTTAACCAATCAGGCTGATGTCTCTGGTCTCAATTCAGAGTCTAGTGAAAATACTAACAATGGTAGACTTATCTGATAATTCAGCTGTGATTTAATACGTTTTTATCCTATCAATGTTAAGAAAAAATATATATCAATCATTCATGAAAATGCTTAATTCGAGATGCACAGCACCTAGCACATACATGACCGATATATTCCACCTTGCAACACCTGTCACACCGGGACGACAAGCACAACACCTGCGTCAACTCCGCCCCTTCACACTCACTCTGTATTCACACAGACCTGTTAATATTTCTCTGCATCAATCTTGCCCATCTCAGGGTCTGCCTCATGCCAACAGATAGGCCATGATCAATAACTTAATGGTGTTCTTGTTACAATAATCAATATCTCACAATATCAGTATAAGTAGAGATATATAGAGAATCTCTCCCAAGTGTCTTCTGATATCAATTATATTAACACGAGTTGATAAAGTTAGAAATATTTATCATCCAAAATCACCCTTCATTAGTTTTCAACGAAAATGTACATCTCTGAACACAGTTCTGCCATTAGGCTTGCAGTGAAGCGATGTCATAGCATTGTGACGTCATCAAGTTCATGACGTCATAGCATTGTCTGGGCATTGTACAAAATCTACTGTCAAAGCGATATCTCCTAGGAAATATCGTTTGATCTCACACAAGCAATATCTCCTGTGGAACACAGTTTTGGATGATAAATATGGATACAAATCCATGAGGATGACATGATGGATAGGTGAAAAGACAGATGCATCAACCGATGTGAATATTTATGAACACTGTTGCTGGTAATGAATATTCATACAAACTGGTTTCAAAAGGTTTTCAAAATGTTTCTCCCATGTTTCAGTTTTTTTTGCGTGGGGGGGGTAGCCTAGGGGTTAAAGCGTTCGCTCGTCACGCAGAAGTCCCGGGTTCGATTCCCCACATGGGTACAATGTGTAAAGTCCATTTCTGGTGTCCCCCGCCATAATATTGCTGGAATATTGCTACAAGCGGCGTAACACCAAACTCACTCACTTCAGTTTTTTGCGAGTTTTGGTTCAGCACCACTCTGAAAGGTATTTCACTTCTATGTCTCAGTGTCTCAGGTCTGGGTGGGAGGGAGGTATTTCACTTCTATCATAGTGTCTCAGGTCAGGACGGGAGGGAGGTGACACAAATCTTAGATGTTTAACACTTGACAGATACAAGCATGGGTATGTTGATGACACACCTAGAATCACAACCAGGTGCAGAGAGCCTTACATCCACAATCTTAGGATACTGGTAGTCCCAAGGGATGCAACTCTTGAGGGAAATTTGGAAGTCTTGGACCCCTGTTCCTATATTTTGACATGAAATATTAGTTTCAGTCCTAAGGGGTCCACTCTGTCTGTGGGGAAGGAATTTTGATGAAATATGGACAACCATCTTGCTTCTGTACATAGCAGGGGCGGATACAGCTTTTTGAGAAAGGGGGGGTGCACACTATTGAGAAAAGGAGGGGTGCACACTTGTTTCAATGGTCATTTAACAAACTTTCAGCACAAAAGGGGGGTGCGCACCCCTGCACCCCCACCTCTGGATCCGCCTATGCTTAGTATAGCAAATGTTTTATGTTCTACTGTTCATCACTCACTGACTCACCCACCCTCCAGTTATTTGGTTGAATATCTTTCACATTACTAACAGTGTAAGATATGACAGATGGAGGGCAGGGGAGGACTGTGTGCTGGATGAGTGATCAGGACACCATTACAGAAGTCTATGTGACGGTCTGCCTGCTGAATGGAAGCAACAGCTGTTGACAACCTTGCTGTCTGATACACGCAGGTGTGTGTGTGGCTGTAAACCAAGGTGATCACCATCACGATTATATCCCAGTCCATTAGGGCTCACCGACACACGGTAATTGAAGTGCATAGACCCATGTCATCATTATAGCTACCATACACCAAGACAGACCTAATGCTAAGATCATATTCTGCAAGTGGGCACAGGTTCTGTCAGCAAAGGGACACAACTCTATGCAGCAAGAGGCTTGCCTACTTCCCAATGCTGATGAAGTGTGCAAGTATTGCTTAACACTGCATTATAATGGTGAAGATGTGTGTGTGTGAGGGAGTTAGTGATGGTATGAGTGAGTGAGTAAGTTTAGTTTAACGCCGCATTCAGCAATATTCCAGCAATATTCAAGCAATATTACAGCGGGGGACACCAGAAATGGGCTTCACACATTGTACCCATGCAGGGAATCGAACCCGGGTCTTCGGCATGACGAGCGAAGGCTTTAACCACTAGGCTACCCAACCGCCCAGTGATGGTATGAATGAATGAGTGGTTAAGTGTATGAATGAGTAGGAGGGCTGGAGGATGAGTGGTGGTTATGAGCGAGTCAGTGATGGTATGAATGAAGGAGTTGTGAAGAGTATGAGTGAGTGAGTAGGAGGGCTGGAGTGGGTGAGTGAGTTTAGTTTTACGCCACACTCAGCAATATTCCAGCTATATGGCGGTGGTCTGTAATGTATATATATAATCGAGTCTGGACCAGACATTCCAGTGATCAACAGCATGAGCATCGATCTGCGCAATTGGGAACCGATGGCATGTGTCAACCAAATCAGCGAGCCTGACCACCTGATCCCATTAGTTGCCTCTAACGACAAGCATAGTCACCTTTTGTGGCAAGCATGGGTTGCTGAAGACCTATTCTACCCCAGATCTACACGGGTCCTAGGAGGGCTGGAGGGTAAGTTAGTGATGAAAAGTAGAACAGTAGACATTTGATATACTAGATACAGAAGCAAGATAGTTGTCCATATTTCATCAAAATTTCTTCCCAACAGAAGCCATAGGTATTAAACTAATATTTCATGTAAAAATACATACATCTTCAAGTGCCCTGAACAGTGTTGAAATGTAGCTATTAATGTGTAGTATAGCTTGAGCATTAAGTCCCGGATCACAACTGTACACCAGTTCAGTAACATATGTGTAAAATTAGAACAGAGTCAGAAAAGAAAAAGGTTTGCTTCATCACTTTCGTAAAACAACAGGGAAAATCAATAGATATTTACTCTTAAGCATCATCCTAATTTGGAAGATAAACTATGTCAATGTATTAACAATTTATGGATAACAACTTTATTTTATGTAGGAGGGTGTTTTGTTTAAATCCTAATGTCGTTGTCAAGCTGGACTGAAAACTGCACATGGTACAGGCACAGGGTATATATGTAACGTATAGCAATAGTAACATGAGCTTACATACATGAGAGAGATCAACATATGGATGGGTGCCTACTGCTGTCACTCTGTATTCTCCCAGTCAGTGCCATCCTCATGTGACATGTGTATCTATCTAGTATATGCAAATATTGATTCATATTGTCAGGTATTGATTGCTGTAAGAAAAGGACTGTTACTGTTTTACTGTTTTATAACTTTAGAAAAATGATGTAAAATTTTAAATTAATATATAATACAATAAATATAATTATATTATTTAGAAATACACCTATCTAGGCACTATGAGTGTTCAGAAAATTTACAAAGGGGGCATTTAACCATACTTGTTAAACCCACTCACCATTTGTTATCAGTTGTCAAATATCAGGCAGCAGTGATCATTAAAATTAGTTTTGAGGAAAATAAATATAAATTCACAAAGTTGATATGCAGGTTCACTGGACAATTATGTACATAAATGTTGGTCTTA